GGTGGATTTGAAAACCTTTCTTGAACATGTCATAAAACTAATTCCCAAATCCTTTCTAAAATCCAATTCTCAAACCATTCTCAACTTTCCAAACTGACATTATTTAACAACAAGCATAAACATTTAAAATCATTTCAAACCAAAACCGAATAATAAATCATAAACGATATACTTGGAAAGCAAAAACCATAAGTAAATCATTTAATAAAATCATCATAGCAAGAAAATCATTTATAAAACAACTGTCCACTCACCTTGGGTCCAAGTATGCTCAACCCTGATTAGGTGCGTTCGGAGCGGTACGTGGCATCTATGAACCTATTTGAAAGATATCAACCATCAGTAAAACAATAGTTCCAAACCGGACTTAAGAGTGAATTCTAGTTTTCCCAGAATCCTAAGTAGGTGAACCCCTAAAGGATCGGTTCATTAGTTCCCAAACAAACGGTACCTAATAGGCAAAACTCTGATCGTTGGTCAAACGATGAAGTCTCACCAATCTGAACATATTGTCATGCTCGGGACAACAATGGTAGAATTAGAGGACAAAGTGGGCCATCATTGGGTGGCCCACGTGTCGCCGGCAGTGGTGGGTGGCTTGAGGAAATTTTCGGTGACCAGAAAACTCCAAATCGTTGGTCAAGCCTTATACCAAACGATTAAGCTCAACAAGGGGAGTAAGTTTTATACCTGCATTGAAGATCAAGTTGGTCGTTAAAGGCCTCGAATGATAAGTTTTTTCTTTCCGAAAACCTAGGAATTTTCCGGCTGTGATTTGAGCAATTCGGCAAGGTTACGAGTTAGGTTTTGAAGAAGGATATGAGTGTTTTGGGACAAAAATAGCGGTCGGTGGTGGCCAGAAACAGCTGGCGTAGCCGTTGCAATTTCCAGCGACGATACTATTTTGGGTCGGGTTTTTGGATACAAAATCCTGGCTATCTACTGGGTTTCAAGGGTGGATCTTGGATGGGTTTTGTAGATGAGGAAGAGGGAAACAATTTTCGTGAAGGTTGCGCCGCCAATCGTGGACGGACGGTGATGGAAAAGTGATTGGAAGTGGTATTGTCACTGTTCACACTAGAGAGAGAGAGAGAGAGAGAGAGAGAGAGAGAAGTGCTGAAATCTGATTGGCCAGCTGGGTTTTAAATTTCAACTTTGAAAAATTTACGGTTGTGCCACTACATTTCCATAGATCAAAATATCTTCGTTTCAACTCCGATTTGGGCTCACCACATGTCTACAAACTCGTGAGCACGAGCATTATGCTATTCAACCGAGAAATTTTCCAAAACTAGCCCAGAGCAAAAAGTCAACCCTAAACCACTAAGAAACCTTAAGGGTAAAGTCGTCTTTTGATTTAAAAAAATAGGAAAATAAATTAACTTTTTGGGAGGGATGTTAAAGTAATACTAAAGGTAAATTATAATAATTGAAAGCAAAAAAGAAAGAAAGAAAGAGAGAAGGAAATATCAAACCAAAAAAATCAAAACAAAAAACAAAAGGGGTAGACAAAGCCTTTTATTTGGTTGCTGTTAGGAAAAAAAAAACATAAAACAAAGCATGATGTATGCTGCGATTTTTCAAAATATTGGATCCACTTGGGCTCCAGGGGCTCTATCAGAGTCCACAAATTTAAAGACAGCTTCAGTGGGACTTTGATGATATAGGGCCCCAAATATCTTCCATTGGTGATGTCTTTTTGCACAAAGTTGAGCCCCGTTTAATGTCCTCATTGGGATGGCCTAAAAAATAAAAAAAATTATACGAATTTTACATTACAATCCGTAATAGTTGATACTTTACCAAGTCATTCTCTTCTCTATTCACGACTTTCCTGATTTATGACTTCCCTTATTTCAAGTAAATAAACAGCCAACAGTTCAACTTTATGAATGAATGCAACTTCTTATTCTTAAACATAATAGGAGGATTTGTTAGAGGCATATCGTTGGAGAAAGACTTTCATGCAATGGGGATAATACTTTTTTCTCTATATTATTGCATTATTGATTGATAATAGCAAAACAGTGTTATTTCCGTTACAAGAAAGTATTTATATTGTCGTTGAGGATAGCATATGCCCTATTTATGGGCTATACTATGACTAGGCCCAAAAAGACATTTGAGCTCTGAGACTTTGACCATGCCCGACCAATTAAAAGTAAAGACTAGAGAGAACTTGACTTGACCCTGGCCTCCGTGGTCCACAAGTACCATCAGCCCCACTGGTAAATAGTTTTTCTTCTTTCACAGTCAGATATCCGATCATCAAGTGCTAAGTCTGTATAATTGGAATTGGCCCAAAATGGAGACAATTAGTTGTCTAGTAAATTTGCTGAAATTTTGGTTTTGCGATTGAAAATATGTAATTTACTAAGTGTTACCTTTCATACGTGTACCCGCCTCATGCCAACTCCATTGAAAAATAAAAACAAAGAAATTAAACTATTATCGTTATATTACAACAATTAGTAAATTACATATGTGTTAAATTACAAAAATTGAAACTACAAACTATAACGACCAACTACGTAGAAAGAGGTCTTAAGTTCGATATTCTATTTCTTATTAATCAACTACGTAGACCAAAATTATTACGTATCATGAGATTTTAATTTTTTTTTAATTTGTTAATATCTATTTTAAACCATCCCATGTAAGTCTTAATCAACTTGTAATCTAGTCCTAATACTTTTTATGGGGGGGGGGGGGGGGGGGGAGTAAGAAATACGGTCCCAATAAAAGTTGGTACATGCTACAACATGCCAATTAGTCAATTCACCATTTTTCCAAAGAAAAAAACAAATTGCAACAAAAGAGAACTAGTAGACATCTCAACGGCTCAGACTAGTATGGCAATTAAATGATTAATTAAGCTTGGCAATGTTTAAATTATTTTTCTCTTCTATAAACAAATTCAGCTTGAGTTTAGCATTTGCCAAGAATTGTTGGGTTGTTTTCTGGTTTTATTTTAAATTAATAATATACTTAAGCATCATCAATAATAGTCAAGAAGTGCGTGTTACAAAGAGTTCGTTGTATTTTTTGATGAATTTTTTTAGAATTAGATTGGGTGAATTTTGGATTTGGAGGTCGAGTGGCTGAACGCAAGAATCGAGCGGCCATGTCCAAGTCGGGAGGTCCCAAATATCGAGTTTTGGTAACTGGAGTGCGTTTCATGTGCGATGATGTAAAATTAGTGAATGAAAAAAGAATGCAAAAAACACTTTCAAGTTGTTTTGAAAAATAAGGATGATTTTGACAACTAGATTTCACTTTTATGAAAACTGAAATCAAAATATGCTACTAAACATATTTCCAGTTTTCAGAACCCGTTATTATATTATCGCTTATATTCAGTTTGATGAGTCATTCTATAATGAGCGCTTATAGAATTCGACTTGGTGTGACATGGATGAAGCCACCTACAAGTTATATCGTAGCCCAATGCACAAAAGGAGGTGAAGCCCATTGATATGAGGATCAAGCAATCAAGCTGGGCCGAGTAGCTCAGCAAATTCACAACTCAACACCTTATTGGGCTGAGAAATTTTTTTGTCCGTAAAATCCTTTTTTTCATACCACTCCGGTATCTTCAGATGTGGGATTGTCAAATCTATTTTTGACCAAAAAAAGAAGAGGAAAAACTCAATTAGCAACAGATTCAAAACATAACCCCTTCTTTGAATTTTAAAAATTTCACCTCACGTTTTGCAAACAAAAGAAATGAAAAAACAAAAAGGAAGAAACATGTAATTGGAATATGAAAATAATTCTTAAACAATTTGTATACATTTAAAGCGTATAGCCGCTCGGCTATACTATTTAAATATTCGTTTATATAAATCAAAAGCAGTTCAAGAGATTAAGTTCAACATTGCTGTTGAATGCTTATCCAGTTCAGATGAATCAATGTTGATTGTACATGCATTATTGGAAGTTGCTTCAAACCCACTAGTATTATATCGCCTCCATGACATTCAATTTTCGGCGAAGTCTTCAGGTGAACTTGACCAAAAGGTCAGTCATTCTAGAACTACAGCCTACTTGATCGTGCGTAAACAAGTATTGACTATAGTAACTCTACTCTTCCAGGGATTTGTATATTTCGTTTGTCAATGAATCTTCCATTGAAGCTGAGAGAAATAGAAGCCTACAAGTTTTTCGTATAATTTAAAGGGTATAGCCGCGCCGCTATACTGTTAAAATATTCTATTTAAAGTGTATAGCCGAGCGGCTGTACTCTTAAAATATTCCAGTTATAGGATATAGCCGGGCGGCTATACCTTTGAAATATTCTATTTCTAGAGTCGAGCCGCTCGGCTATACCCTTTAAATGTATACGAATATCTTTAAATATTCTCTTCTGACGATCAATGTGAGTTTGGCAAATATACCCATACCTCCCTTATTTAATTCTTTCCTTTTCATTTTATGCTTGTGAGCTTTATTTTTCTACCTGAGTAATTCTACTGTTGGGGGATAAAAATTTGATGCAGATAGTTGAGTTTATGTAATTGTATGTAATGGCTAATTGAGGTTATGTAAAAATGAATTTTAGTTGATGTAATTAACAAAAACTTTTACTACAATTTACTGTCAGTTTCTCCCTTTGACTCATTCTGTATCAATTATCAAACCTTGTTCAAGATTCTGCATTTAGCACAAATTTTTCATCTTGCTGGATGTGTTAACTACTTTGGTCGGAAAGTGTATCTATCTATTCTCGTGGTTGTCTGACACTCATTGATTATTGGGAACAACTTGTTTCCATTATTTATTATAGCTAATGCAGCCGTGAGATCATAATTTTGTATATCCGAATTTTATAGTCTAACCGCACCGCCATACTTTTAAAATATTCTATTTAGCCGTGCGGCATCCGGGCTATATCAAGTTATGTTTCAGCAGTCGCAGCTGAAGTAATGCCCAAGGTATGATGTTGTCCAAATTTCTTTTCTACATCAATTCGAATTTTACTATCGTCCTTTATTGTAGTTATGGATAGGCTTCAAAATCCTCAAAATCCTCAATTACTTCAGACAGGTATGATCAATTTATTTTTATTTTGTTGAGATGTGCTAAACATGCTAGTAAATATCAATTCCAGATATGTTAATCATGCAGAAGCTGTGGCAGATGCAATCCAAAGACTTTGGCCAATATGTACAGCCATATTTGATCTGTAAATGTTGTTCCTACATAATACATTACTTGCTGAGTATATCTTAATCTCCTTTCCTTATTCCAATCTGTGTTTTGAATGTTTCTGGTGAAGTCGTGCTTGAGACAATGAAGTCTCAGTGCAGATGCAAATACGCCGTGAGTTCACTCACTGACCCCCCTTCTTAAATGTTAATCTGAATTCGTTAAAGCTACTTTAGAGGGTTTTTGCTAAATTTATATATTGAATCCGGTGTGTTTCGTTATGTGATTCAACTGTGAAACCTGTCAAGGAAATCACCGCTTGAAAAACGTAGCGATTTTGTGTTAGAATCTGTTGACGGGAGCACTCCAAACAATGCAGATTGTGATTCCATTTCGCACCGGTTGAAGAGACAGGTCCCCTGGAGTTTCTCTTTTCACCAGAGTTGTTGCTTCATGTATGGATCCAAAACCAAAAGCATATGATTTTTCTGTACTTATGTTGTCTTTCTAAATATAATTTTTCTTTCCCAAATTTTTAGTTCTAAAATTACATCGAGAGAGAGAGAGAGAGAGAGAGAGAGACAGACAGACAGACAGACAGAGAGGGAGAGAGAAAGCTGAAATGCGTAAATTAACAAGTGCCAGCAAACGTTTTGCAAATAAGAGAAAGGTAAAAACAAAAACGGAAGAAACATGTAACTGGAATATGGTAATATTTCTTAAACAAATTCATATATAGATATATATATATATATATATTTATAGAGTATATCCGCGCGGTTATACTCTTTAAATGTTCGTGTATATTTTAAACTTATAGCCGCGCGGCTATACTGTTAAAATGTTCTATTTACAGATTATAGCCGTGCGGCTATACTGAGTATATACTTTTAGAATATTCTATTCTACAGTATAGCCGAGCGGCTATACTCAGACGGGTGGTTGAAGACGGGTGATCTTTGTTTCTTTGATGATGAGGGATTCCTCTACATTGTTGACCGGTTAAAGGAATTGATCAAGTACAAGGCCTATCAGGTGATTGCAAGAGAGATCCTTTGAGGGTTAAACTCATAACAAAGATGGTTGTATAAGTATTTGATCAGTCTATTTGAGTAATGTGTTGTTTGGTCTCCCTATGTCTGGAACAAATTGCAGGTACCCCAAGCTGAGTTGGAACCTATACTTCAATCCCATCCCGACATTGCCGATGCCGCTGTGATTCCGTATGTATCTAGTACTATGACATTCTTTGTTTGTGAAAAGCTAGTTTCTTTCCACGCTCTATGGCATCAATCTATCAATTGACGACTTTAATCTCTTATTTGTCATTTTTGAAATTTTTTAGAAGTATTTAACTGGGAAAAGAAACTGGTCCATAGAAAACAAAAAAACAAAAGAAATTCAAGAACTTATGAGATCATTGAAGAAAATTTTTACGGATATTTTGCTGATAAGTTTGCCTTTATGAGAAATCTGGTCTTTTGCCTCCACTTTCTTGCATAGTTAGTGTCATGGTTACATGGTAGAAGATCATAGTTTCTGAAAGAATTTGCAGTATATTTCATTTATCTGTTTACCTACCTCCTCAAGGTATACTAGTTCTGATTTCTGCCCGTTGGCGTTTCTGAAGCAGGTGTCTTGATGAAGAAGCAGGGCAGATTCCCATGGCCTATGTAGTTAGAAAGCCTGGAAGCAATATCAATGAGGCTGCAGTTATGGATTTTGTTGCAAAACAAGTATGCTCCTGAATACTTGTAAAAAATCCAATTGATTCTTTTCATAATTAACATCCATACTTCCCAAAGTTCCAGTTCTCTTGAAGTTGTATGTTACAGGCCATCACATTGAAGTTGGTTTCTTATTGCAGGTTGCACCCTACAAGAAGATTCGACAAGTATCATTTATCAACTCTATCTAGCCGTTCATCTAAATTATGATTTACTTCTTCAAACAAAGGAAAGCTGCTGAGCATTGCATTCCAATTCAACATATCTGCTTGTTCATGTTCTTTAGCATGTATATAAATGCAATCGATCTTGGAAGTCACAGTTATTATGTTTCTGATCAGAATTCGACCGTGTAAAGCCTTTTGTAAGATAAACCTATGTTTGAGCCTAATTGAAATCCGGCCGGGTGAAACACAACCTTTCCACACATTATTTGTTTTTGTTTTGTGTCCACATTATTTATGTTTACTGTATATCTATCTGTGAGAGAGTTTGAAATTCATCATTCAATCAAGATCCTTGATGCACTTGTTTCCCTAGTAAGTGTTTTTGCTTATGTTGTATTCTGAATGTAATATACGTACTACCAGAGACTTGTTACCATATCCTTTTTTGTTGCTGTTTGTATCAATCTTATATTTACTGGTTTTCCCAAGAAATGATTCTTTCATACCATGATACCTTTTGTCACATAAATAAAATGGCTATCAAAAGATCTGAGAACTAAATTCCTCATTTATCATAATACGGTATAGCCGCGCGGCTTTATTTTTAAATATTCAGATTTGTTTATGGGAAAATGGTTAATAATTGTCCTACAACTGAACTTCAACTTAATGGAGGAAGCAATGAAATACCACATTACATTCCATTTGGACATTCTTCTATTGCACCAATCTGTCACAACCACAAGAAAGATGTGCGAGACATGCCTGTTTTCTAATTTAAATCGTATAGCCGGGCGGCTATACCGTCAAAATCTCATATTTAAAGAGTATATCTGACTGGCTATACTGTTAAAAATTTACATAGTATAACCGCCCATCTATAATTTAAAAATATTCTGTTTATAGCGTATAGCCGAGCGGCTATACTGTGAAAACTTTCTATTCAAAGGGTATACCGACCGGCTATACTGTTAAAATATTCTATTTATAGAGAAAAAAATTATTCATAGAGGACAGCCGCTCGGCTATACGGTCACAATTTTCTATTCAAATGGTATCGCCGATCGGTTATACTGTTAAAATATTCTATTTGTAAAGTATAGCCACTCGCCTATACCGTAAAAATTTTATATTAGCTGACTGGGTATACTGTTAAAATATTCTATTTATACGGTATAGCCGAGCGGCTATACTTTTAAAATATTCTACTTCGAGTGTAATATTTTATTTAAAGGGTACCTGCAAGGAGTTGATCAATAGTCAGAACTTAGAACTGACCTGGCATTCTGGCAATGCATCTAGTCTAATATTAATGGTAGATATTGGAACTTCATAAGGAGAATGAGAGGCCAAAGCTTGAGCCAGTTCTTTAATACTAGTAATGTTCAGGCTTGAAAAGCACTGTCTGAAATATTCAAGGACTGATATATCTTCTTTGAAGGAGTGATCTTTTTCAAAGAAGATGTAGTATTTGAGAATGAAGTAATTTCCAAGGTATGATCTAATAATACTCACTTTTTGGGGGGTTATTTATATGTACACTTTCTTCTGGAAATGAATTACACACATGTAAAGGAGTAACGACGGGCAAGCACAACGCCTCCAAAGCCCTCTTAGCATGGTCAAGTGGAAGTTCAATAATGACCTTGCTGCAGAAGAGAGTTCAGTAAATCTTCAGATCATCAACAACATGGTACTAGATTGATCATGCAACGTCAGAAGATGCAGAAGATATAGTTTACCTTAAGGCTTCAACTAGATGCAACGAGTCCTCAGCTAACCATCCATGACAGATGAATTAATGCTGTCAACAACCAGGAAGTTGTCAGCCAAGGCCCAGACACATTAAATAGCAAGCCTGCTCGTGATTTAATAGTTCACATTGATCGATTTGGGTATATCTTTAGGTACGTATGATTAATATCTTGTTGTTATGCCCCTTATTTCTTTTTATTTTGTTGAGATGTGCTAAACATGCTAGTACATATCAATTCAAGATATGTAAATCATGCAGAAGCTGTGGCAGATGCAAACCAAAGACTTTGGCCAATATTTAAAGCCATATTTGATCTGTAAGTGTTCCTGCATAATACATTACTTGCTGAATATTACTTGTGGTGTAACAGATTTCCATACTCATATATCTTAATCTCTTTTCCTTATTCTAATCCATGTTTTGAATGTTTCTGGTGAAGTCGTGTTTGGGACGTGCGGACAATGGAGTCTCTGTGCCGAGCATCCAAATACGCTGTGAGTTCAATCACTGATCCCCCTTCTTAAATGTTCATCTGAATTCGTTAAAGCTACTATATAGGGTTTTTGCAAAATTTATACAGTGAATCCAGTGTGTCTAGCTATGTGATTCAACTGTGATATCTGTCTTTTTGCCCGCGGCATCTTTTTTCGTCCTCAAAACTTTTCCTATTGCCTTATTTGATAAGAGGAAGAATTTGTATCAGTAGTGTTCTGTTTTCCTGTCGTTGGTGGTTCGGTGTGAGCCATTTGAATGTTTTGCTCTGGCAATGCTGTTTTATTCAAAACTTTTTGATCTTATCATTGTCCTTCTGGGAATGATGAAGTTAAAAGAATCTGTCACTAGGCTTATTGCCACAATCACAAGAAGCTGTCTGATATAAGAAAGATGTGTGAGGCATGCGTGCTCTCAATTTAAAGACTCTAGCCGCGCGGCTGTACTATTAAAATATTCTACTTGCACCGGGCGGCTATAACTTTTAAATTGTTAAAATATTCTCTTGTGGCTGGCATTTCTCTTGTACATATGTATTATTTTTACAAATTTATAAATAAACAATCCTAGACATGTATTTATAAAAAAATCTAAGCACTACATAGAAATACAGCCAAAATCAACCTCAAAGTCAACTTTTTGAGTGTGTTTATAAATGAGTTTTGAGTGTGTGTAATGATGGGTTTTGAGTGTGTTTATATGTTTAAATAGTACTTGAATTTTTTTATAATTTCAACCCTATTTTGGGTGTTTTAGTGAAACTCCCTATTATTTTCGACCCAGCGCAGCCCATCCCTCACGGCCCTTCTGCCCTATTATTTTCGACCCAGCACAGCCCATCCCTCACAGCCCTTCTGCTGCGCGTCTAAGTTTACCCGCTTCTTTTCTTCGTTCATCATCTTCTTCATCCAATCCTCTTCTGATTCTTATTATCTTCTGAACTTCTTCGGTAACTCATAGTCTCGTCCCAGCGGCCCATCCCTTTCTTATTTTTCGTTTTCACATCCAATTCATACCCCAGTTTGTTTTTCTTAATCGGCTCTACTTCCTCAGGTATGTCTAATTTAGGGTTTAATTTCTGAATTTTCTTTACGGTATGTTTTTTCATATCTTCTTTCTTTCACAATTCATTTTCTGATTTGATTTTTATTTAAAAATTGAGAATTTGGGTCTGGTGTGCCTTCTGTTTGCTAGAACTCTGTTTTTCTTTTTCAAATAAAAGAATTTTCGAGCTATAAATATGATTACTAAATTGGGTTTTCTGCGTAGTTTAATTTCTGCATAAAGATTCTGAATTTCTGAGTTTTAATTTTCAGTTTTATCAGGCACCAACTGTTGGAAGCTCACGCCGCTTGAACCTGAAAGGATGGTGAGTTATTTATTTGCTTTTGTATTCCTTGCTAAGCTTTATTGGTTTCTGAGATGCACTAAAATCTACTTTCTTAGTTTAATGATGCTGTAACAAATTTAGGAGCAAGCTACGTAATTTTGACATTCCTGTGGGGTAATTGCAGGCGACTCTTGCTGATTCATTTCTTGCAGACCTTGATGAACTATCTGACAATGAAGCTGATGTTATTGTGAGTATATTTTTCCTTAAATCATGACGACCAACTTTTACAAAGCTAGTAAATGAGATGTTAAAAATTCATTTCTATATCAAATTCTCAATCTCTGCAGTATAAGTACTTACTTTTTTTTTTTTTTTCTTTTTTTTTTTTCTTTTCGCAGGTTGAAGATGATGCTGATGCTGGAAACATGGAAGAAGATATTGATGGGGACTTGGCAGACTTGGAAACGCTTAATTACGATGATCTGGATAGTGTTTCAAAATTGCAGAAAACGCAAAGATATACTGATATAATGCAGGTTTGTTATAATAGGAATGTCCCGATTTTCTTCATGGAGTACTTTCTAGTATTGAAATCTTTATATTATTTTGTGCTCAAACATTATCTTTTGACTTCTTTACTGTATTTATATATTCTTAATGCTTATCCTTTTCTTTGATGTATTAGCATTTAGGATGACTGCTGTTGCAGTTAACGTGTTTTTTTTTTTTTTTTTTGGTTGGGGTGGGGGTTTTAACTTTATGGACATGGCTTTTTAAACATGTATTGTGTGCCCTGTTTGATTAAGATTTTGGTTTTTGTTTTTTAAATAAAGACAGGAGTAGGTTAAAAAATATAATTTATAGAAGAAATACAAGAGAGGTAAGGAAGAGAAGAGTGAGAGTAGATCAAATTGAAACTAAAAACCATTCAACATTGAAACTAATTTTGGTGTTTATTTTAAAAGTACTTATATGTGTTCTTCCTTTGTGGTTCAGTACTGTTCTATGTTCCCCCTGCCCCATCTTCTTTTTCCATTTTTATTACTGGAATGTGCTTAATGACATGTATGTAATTGGAATACGGTGTTTAAATTGTAGAAAGTGGAAGAGGCTTTGGAGAAGGGTTCTGATATGTCAAGTCATGGAATAGTTTTAGAAGATGATCCAGAATACCAGCTGATTGTGGACTGTAATGCTTTGTCCGTTGACATTGAGAATGAAATTGTAATCATCCACAATTTTATTCGTGATAAGTATCGCCCAAAGTTTCCAGAGCTTGAATCACTTGTGCATCATCCGATTGATTACGCTCGAGTTGTTAAGAAAATTGGGAATGAAATGGATGTAACCCTTGTTGATCTGGAGGGGCTTTTACCTTCCGCAATTATTATGGTTGTGTCAGTTACAGCATCAACTACAAGTGGCAAGCCGCTTCCAGAGGAAGTCCTTACGAAAACAAATGAGGCATGCGATCGAGCCCTTGCTCTTGATTCATCAAAGAAGAAGGTTCTTGATTTCGTTGAAAGTAGAATGGGCTTTATTGCACCAAATCTTTCTGCTATAGTTGGGAGTGCTGTTGCGGCGAAACTAATGGGGACAGCTGGCGGTCTTGTATCCTTAGCTAAGATGCCTGCTTGTAATGTTCAGCTTCTTGGTGCTAAGAGAAAAAACCTTGCTGGGTTTTCCACTGCAACATCACAATTTCGTGTTGGTTATGTTGAGCAGACAGAAATATTTCAAACTACACCCCCTTCTTTGAGGATGCGTGCTTGCCGACTCTTGGCTGCAAAATCAACACTTGCAGCACGGGTGGATTCAACGAGAGGAGATCCATCTGGAAACACTGGAAGGGCATTCCGGGAGGAGATACGTAAGAAAATTGAGAAATGGCAGGAGCCTCCTCCTGCAAAACAACCTAAACCACTTCCAGTTCCAGATTCTGAACCTAAGAAGAAGAGAGGTGGTCGTCGGCTAAGGAAGATGAAGGAAAGGTAGTGCAGTGTTTCTACTATTTTACCTTTGTTTAGTAATTGTTGATTCATATACTGATATTTACTTTTACAGATATGCGATAACGGACATGAGGAAGCTGGCAAATAGGATGCAATTTGGTATACCTGAAGAGAGTTCCTTAGGTATTTTTCTGTCTTCTGTTAGTAAATTTAATTTGTAGATTTTCTTATGTTGCCTGTTTATTTTATAGATCTGTGTTGAGTCACTATGGCCTGTTGAGTGATCATTATTAATTTTCCAATTATACGGAGAAAAAGAATTTGGGCATCCTGAGATCTTTTCTTTTTTTATCCTTAATGCACAGGTCCAATATGCATGTCTTATATTGAAGGGTTTTGTTTTTTGGGGTCAAAACTTGTGGTCAGAGGGTGCACCTTATCTCTAATTTTGATTTATATCCCAATAAGAAAAGGAAAAAATTGAATTATATTTTGCGCTGCATATTGTGAAGTTCTACAGGAGACAGGAAGTTTCCAATAACACTTACATTTTTACACTTCCTACAATGAGGATCTCAATTTTCCATTGTAGTGGGGTTCCCATTTACATGAATGGTTGGGATCTGTGCAATTGCATGGAATATGTTTACCATTTACATTCTTAATTAAACTCATGTTTTGTCTTCCTTGATAATAGGTGATGGACTGGGTGAAGGTTATGGAATGCTTGGTCAAGCTGGGAGTGGCAAGCTGCGTGTATCAATGGGTCAGAGCAAACTTGCTGCCAAAGTCGCTAAGAAGTACGCTTTTCCTTGCTGGTTTTAATTATTGTCTTCTTTTATGGCCCAGTGATTTAATATGGATTGTCATTTGTGTTTCTGTGCTGATTTATTTGTCTAAAAGTATGAGATAATGATCCTTGACCTGATATCATGAGCTGCATATTATTTTCAGGTTCAAGGAGAAGAATTATGGAAGCAGTGGTGCTACATCTGGACTCACTTCAAGTTTAGCATTTACGCCTGTGCAGGTAACTTCACTTCTTACCTTACACTTGAAAAATCTCTCATATTCGCAAATGCATTGGTTTCCAAGCTAGTGACATAGAAACTTACTTCTTACCTTTGGAAAATTCTTACCTACAGGGGATCGAGCTCTCAAATCCACAGGCTCATGCACACCAGCTCGGCGGTGGAACTCAAAGCACCTACTTCTCTGAAACGGGAACATTTTCAAAAATCAAGAGGATCTGACCTATACAGGAAATTTTTTCTTATATTCATGAGATTTTGCCAGTTGGCAATGCCATGGATGACCTGAGTCTGAATGTGTAAATGATTTTACTAGATGAAGTATTACATCGCCGTATTATCTCATGCTTCAGAGACCAAACTGTTCCCGATGTACTAATTCGAGCTGAGACGTGTGCTCTTGGGAATAACTAAACTGATACCTTCTACACTACTTTCTTGTGCATGACAAAGTTCTTGGATTAATGGGTAACATTTAGCAGAACAATGTTTTATTCATATTTCAGACTGCAATAATCAAAAATTAGTTTTCAGTGGATTTTTTTTATAAAAAAAAAGTTTAACTAACCACTTGCTGCTGGACTGAATCAGTCATTCAGTTGAGTCATAGAGAAAGCAAGTGTTTTGGGAGTGGGAACCAAATTTGGAAGCACATTTGGTTGGTCAGGAATTATTGTCCCAATCAAAGTTGGTATACCTTACAGAATTCATGACCTGCTAATGATGAGCCTCACTTATTAATGACAATTTATTTTCTTAAGTAACTGCTACATAGGGTATCAGCCATGTTTCATAATGACGTCTAACAACTAATCATCTGATAATAAATAGAAGACCATTTTAACTGCCACAACATGTTCCTTTGGAGAAATTCTTGTGTAAGGCTGCCTAGCGGATCTCTCACGGATTAGTGGGCCTCACATGCGAGTTTCACACCAAGGCCACCCCTTTGACTTACACTTGAAACTTCTTCAAACATTAAAAAAATAATAAAAACTATGCCAAGCGCTAGTTAATAACGTAATTTATAAATTGATATACACCCTTTTGGGGAGGAACTTGAAATCAAAATTTTGTATTCTTATTATTTTTTTTATACAAGCGAAATTCGAAAAAGGGTGTATCGAGCCTACGACATTGGATGGTTACCTTAATGTAAATTATGGAGAGGCAAGCGCCTTGTAGTTAAGTGGTTAAAATCATTTGCCCTTGCACCCCAGGTCATAGATTCGATTTCCCTCTCCCCAATATCACTTGTATAAAAAAAAATTAAAAAATTATGGAAGGGACACAACATTTCCCTTTTTCTTTTTTCTTTTTTCCTTTTATGATCTGATACAACATTTTCAATGACCCTTGCCAAACGTATTAAATACGATCTTCTTTGACATCCGGACATTTCTCAGGAAACACTCACTATGCTTCAGGCAAAAGGTCCAAAGACCCATCTGTGGCTTAGCCCGTCACGCATAAAGACATACATACCCTTCATGCACACAATGAACTTCAACTAAGGGCAACATCAAGTGATTATTAGCAGAACTGTTAGATAATAAGCAATCTTTCCCTGCAAGCAGACACTCTGCCTCAATGCTAGCTAATATTAACATAATCTAAAAAAATGAGGGGTTCATTGGCAGTGCTTGAGATTGATCATCCTACACACTCGCCTTTGTGTGCCATGCGCAAGTGGACTATATGCAATTTGCAAATGCTCTACATTTACAGTAACACAACAACCATGGCAAGCCAGTGAAAGAATCAGCATAGCCTTCATGTATGATACACCAGATGATATGAGGAAAACCTATATTCATTTCGAAGAACTCCACCCCCGAGGAAGTCTCCACTTTCTATGCCAATATATTGACACTCTTGACCATAATGGGAACCCAAAATTGTAATCCAGGGGCCTATCAGCCGGTCCCCCTACTATCAAAGGCAACCAGACATATCTTGAGTCCCTTAAGTCTGCCGGGTTCCATCGATCTGCCATGAAAATAAATGAACCAGGAAATGCTGGCACAGGAACCACAAATGTGCTCTGTGCAAAAAATGTAGTAAGTCGGGACACTTTGTTCCCTCCCGCACAGGGGTTTCCCAAAGTCTCCCATGGCCCCATGATCGACTCTGCCGCATGGGCCAGTGCCTCATTTGGAGCCCATCCAGTGCATCCTGAAGTGATCATGTAATAAGTTCCTTCATACTTGAACAGAGCCGGGGCTTCCCGATGTTGTCCCACGAGAACTCTTCTCACGATGTTTGTCACATCAAGATAATCTTCAGTTAGTGGCCCAATATGAAGTTCACTATTGTCCTCGGAGGAGTAGATTAGATATGCAACACCATCATCATCTTTGAAGATTGTCATGTCCCTACTGTCAAATCCATGAGGTCGTTTGCTGTAGAGATAATCAAAAGGACCAGTAGGGTAATCACTAATGGCAATACCAACAGCAGCTTTGGTGTAGTTAACATCATCAATATGCATCCACATAACGTACTTCCCTGTCCGCTCATTGTAAATCACTTTCGGCCTCTCGAGAACATTTAATTCGTGGAGATCATGTGTTTCGTTTGTTTTTTCTGCTGCTAATACAATGCCTTCATTTTTCCATTTCCATAAGTCTCTGGAAGAATAGCAACCAACTCCTATGATGTCAACCTACATATAAGACAGAAATTGAATGCTTGAAATAAAAAAGGAATACTGACAAAAATTAGAGACGAATAAAAAAAACACTCACAAGTGCAGCAATGGTGAAAAAACTATGCATCTAAAGGTAATGCAACATGATGAGGTCCATAACAGCAACATATGGGTTACTGGAAGCCTCAAAACAGCGCCTGCTGGAAGAAGGGAAAAAAAAAATCCCTCAGAGAACCATCCAGTTCATACACGTATTTTCAACACCCATTGAGTAAGAATTCCTTTTCAATCCCCAAAATCCATATCGAACAACTAAAACTCCTGTAGGCTTAAACACCAGATGTCATTTTTAGCTGACAGCAAAATTAAGTTGTACCCAAAAGTTCCGTTCTTTCCAAATTGAAGGCGATGGAGTTTTAAGATTTCACTTCTTGGAAAGATAGTTCTCATTACTCTTTAAATGATGCTGATCCACAAATCACCTACTTCACTTAGAAAATCTAACTGACAGATCTTTCACTGACATGGGTTGTTCTCACCTAAAATGGAGGAGATGTCTTCTCGTGCATCGTTTCCAACATGAACAAAAAAGGGCAATTATCCATGAGGCTCCTGACACACTTCTTCATCAGGACTAACCAATTGGATGATTGAAAAGAATTCACATGGCTGACTCCAATCTCAATGGGACCCTACATCTCAAAAAGCACAATACCTATCGAACTTGAGAGCACATTATCAGATGGTGAAAGCCCTAAGCAAGGCCTACTGGGCATTCGCCCCGGCTTCATTCTTGTTCTTTGTCATTATTTTTGTAATACACATCATTCCTATAACAAGTTTCCAATTATGCACACTACCCTCAACGCAATTTACAGTTCAAGAAGCAACAACTATGGAATCGCTACAGAACATTGTGTTTCCAGAACTTTGCCTCTTTGATATTGGCATGTCAAGACCCACGAAGAGAAAATAAAGCTCCAACTTAACACTCCAGCTCACACTAAGAAGGCATGTTATACAATTGTAAATGATAGTTTAGTTGTATTTTTCTCCTAACCTGCCAGAACAATTTTTATAGAGGTTTCCAAGGAGATTTTTATTCATGTAAAGTATGTACGATATGCAGGGGATAAAGTCTTATACAAAATAGCAATGGTAAAATGCATAAGAACTAGAAAATGAATTCCACAATCTAGAGTTGATATCAAGTAATATGAAGGCAACACACTAAATTAGGCTTATTGAGGTCAGCACAGAAAACAACTGGTATTCATGGTTGGATTATGGAAACAGAAATGAACCACATATGCAATAATGACTTACATTTAGCTTCAACTATATAACCCCAAAGCTTCTAAACAGAAAGCAAACAACTAATGAGTGAAAAACTTACAAAATAGCAATTTCATCCCCAACAGCCTTACAGACTGATATTTTAGAGTCAAAACACAGTTGAGCATAAGATGATGCAGAGGAAAAGTAAATCACTTACCCGGGCTGCTCCTTTTTTATGAGCATGATATGTGGGCCCATCTTTATACTCCCCATACCAATAGTATGTCCTCAATTTGTCATCATATAGAATACCACCTCCATGAGCTTGAATAGGATTTCCATCAGTATCCAACCAAATCCTCCCAGGGTAATAGTAATAGCTATCATTCCCTGTATCCTTCATTGGATCTATAACATGCTTCTGGCCAGGAAAGAATACGTGTCTAATTTGAGAATTTTCATCAAGAAATTCATCAATCAGAGTGGTTGGTCGCCTAGGTTTTCTTTTTGCAGCACGTGGGGATCGCTTTCTTGGTGGGGGAATTTGGATATTTTCCTCTTCCACCTCTTCAAGTTCATGGAACTGTGGGTGATGAGTTGATCGAAATTGCATTTCTCCTCCCATCCTATCATTTTGGTGAACAAGGGAGTACAGCTGAAACATAAGAAAACATCCCACCAAGCTCCACACCACAGCAGACGTTGAACATCTGCTCCCTGCATTGCAATGGAAAGTGGTTGGTTTCCTGTATTTGTTCCTCATCCTCATTTTCTCTTCCTTTTAATTATCTTCAAGATTATGCTGCAATTAACAAAATGCAACCTATGGATATCCAATAAAACCCAACCAAATATAAGTCATCGCCACGCTAACCTATAATGAGCGGAAGTAGTCAATTTTATCACCATTTATGAAAGAAAAAACTTCAGCACAAATTAGGACTACAACAGTCTCAAATGTTTTAAAATTACACTATTTTCGTCAGTGATATACAGTCATTAATTTTAGAAAACTACGCTGTCAACGGCTGAATGTGTATAACTGAATACTACTCGGCCAAACAGTGTGGGCAATCAGGGAACAAGTCTTGATAGTTAGAAATAAACAAATAAATAAGAATAAGATATGCCAATAACAAAGTTATATTATTTACTGGAATACAGTTCAACAAATAGCAACAGAGTTAATTGCAAATGAAACATCCAGGAATTAACCAATGACTTAGACCCATTTCAGTAACAGATTGAATCAATCAAAAAAGCTCAAAACTTGTGTATCAGAGTCCAAAACCTACTTGACAGATCCACATAGTTCAACAACCCAGACATGGGTTTCCTAAAAATGGAAGGAAAAAAAAATCTCTACTTTCATCACCCACAAGCAGAAAAGTGATCAGAGTCAAAGAAAAGACTTACCTGAGAACAGCTGAAGCATGAGTTGAACTGAATTTCCAGACATGGGTTTGCTACTGATGTTGTTGTTCTAACAATACTTGAACCAAACTGGGCAGACCAAGCAATCCAGAGCAGAGAAAAACAGTCCACAGAACCCAGAAGAGGTTGGGTGGTTTGTTTTTTCTGATTCAATTGGATCTGAGGTTGATGATATTGACTTGGGACCAAAAGGTCTTTGATGTTTGATAAAACAGATATCTGGAAGCTTTTCAAATGAAAATTTTCCCCTTTTTTTTCTTTCCTGGATGCTGAATTAATTCTTACTTGATGAGCAACCACTTAGATTCTGACAGTTGATTAAATGGGCCGTCACTATATCGCGCCTACACTCCATCACCGTAACAGGACAGTTTACGTGACACACCAAGTTCACGCGGCTCATATTACTCAAGGGAGTGAGATTAGAAAGTCAAAAAAACAACACAAAATAGTGAAATATAATAATTGAAATATAGAATAAATATATACAAGAAAGGAAAAAAAGAAGCAAAAGGTAGACACACAAAATCATTAACAGCTGCAGAAATTTTTTAGGCAACTTCAAATATGAATACACGTGACATGATGTTTAGTTTATAATTCTTTTTTTCTTGCCTTGATGTCTTTCAATATGTGGACCAATGGTTGTGTTTGTTGCTTAACAAAACAACAAATGGTTGTCTTTGATGTGTCAATATCCCTTTCCACATTTTTTTTAAAAATAAATTAAATGATACAAAATAAAATATATAATAACGTCGTCAAGAGTTCTACGATTATCATCATATATTAACCTAACTTTCCTAATCATGTTTTAAGCTATAAAATTAATAAAAAGTATATTAAAATGCAGAAAAATAATTGATAGAATGTCAATGCAAAATTAAAAAATATATTTAAATGCGAAATGGTACTCATTCGTGTTAATTATGTGTTTATGTCATGTAACAAAATAAGGAGGTAGAGATCATGTCTCAACTCTTAAGTTGACCGTATTTTTGTTAGCAAAATTTTTAATAGATGGAGCTCTTTTCTTAAGCTTGCTTACTAGAAGGTCGTTAGATGTCTATAATTTATAGATGTAGCTTTTTGTTGAGCAACAAACTCTAACCAACTCAAATAGGAAACATGAGCAGTTTGCTTATATTGAAAATTGTGGGACTTCCTGAGAAGCTTGTGATATTCTGAGACTTACTCATCAAGGAGGTATTACCCCACTGAATATCATCATCTAGCAAGCTTATTGACTAAGCCTCTTGATTTTTTGAGATTTGAGTTCCTATAAAAATATATTGGCATTGGACCAAAAGATTAAAGCTACAACACTGTTTGGGCCTAAAAAATTGACACACCAAGCCCAGCGAAAACGAGGCTCAGAATAGAAGCTGCAGAAAATCAAAGAAAAATGGAAGCCCAAAAAACCAGAAGAGCCCAGCCCAAAACTTATCAAAACAAACGAGGCTAATCTGGGCCTCACAAGCCCGATATGACAAAAGGAGAGAGCCCAGAAACAGGGACAATCCCACGTGACATCTCTGGGATAAAGAAAAAGTCAGCAATGGCAACTGTCATAGAAGAAGTGATTGAAAGATTCATGACATCAAGATGTTTTGAAAAACCTGAAAACCCTGAAGATCAAATCCCTCTTACATGTATATATTTAAAGATTTTTTCTATGTTTACAGAGAAGGTAATTCTCCCAAGAAGATAAGCAAGTTACAATCTCAGAGAAGGATAAGCAGGAAAGCAGGGGGGCTGTCCAGAAAAGAAGTCAAACTAACCATCACGAGTGAAATCCCACAAGGGGCAGTTGAAATTGGGAAAGAGATTAAGTTCTTTTTCAAGAAAAACAGGGAAGTGATTGCCTATTTTAAGAGTCTATCTGCTAAAACTGATGAAATCCTATTTTCTTTCTTTCCATTAAAGAAGGAAAAGGGGAAGATATCTTTTTGCCGCCCAAATATTGAACAGAATCACCCTACTCCAGAAAAACATTTTTACTATAAATACAAGAAGGAGTGAACAGGGTAAAAGGACAACAAAAAATTCATCACCCAATCAAACAAAGATCCTACACAAGAAAACCGTCAAAGGACAAGTTCAAAATCAACCAACAAGCCCACTTGAATTTCAAGTGAAACCAGCTCCAGATCAGAATCC